TGTCTGTCTGCCTCTATTTGTATATATATATATATATATATATATATATATATATGTATGTATGTATGTATGTATGTATGTATGTATGTATGTATGCATGTATGTATATACGTTCCTGTGTATCTACGTTTTTATGTCTACTTGTATATATGTGCCTCTTAGCGATATATTTCATTCCATGAACAACATGAGCTTCGTCACGTGATTTTCAGTGACCGAATTAAGTTGTGCGCAGCTAAGGTGTTTGCTCAATTCTTCTATTAAAACACTTTGACGGAATAACATCAACCTTCCTTTGCTTTATGTGGCATTCAATTTCAATTTTCGTTTATGTAATCATTCAATATTTATTGAACAAAACATCTGCGTGTTAAAGTTCCACCTCGTAGGATTCATAAAGATTTTGAGTCCTTTACTGTGCGTTGATTACACAGATATGTAACGGCCACACTCACCTCAAACTCTTCATCCGTTGTCAATAGCTCGCCAAGTTCGGTGAACATCTTTTGCATAGCTTCTTGTAAATGATACACCTCAGTGAGCCATACATTTCTACTGATAAACCAATTCATATCAGTGTCCAAAGACGGATACCAAGGATTAAGGAGAATATTCACCATGTTCTCCTGTTCCATTCTATAGTATTGTGAACGTTAGGGAACAGCAAAATATGTTAAATCACAAATAAGTAATTGAGATCAAAGAGATTTATACTGAAAGTTGTGAAAGATGTACATATGTGATCAATTGAATAGTGGTAGAATGGCTCTTATAAAAATAATGAACATGAACCGTTTCCAAGCAGTTTTGCACGGTAGAATTACGAAGCGTTTTGGATGGTACATAACAACGTTCTGTTTGTCCGTACGCGATCGGAAACAATAACTACTCGGCCGAGGCAAGCAAAAACAAAATACCGACTCGCACTAATTTTCTTTCACCGAGCCAAAAACCATCTGATCTCCAGACACTTCACGAGAAGTGGAACAATTCCTAAAGCATATTACTAGGCAATGATTTATGAGAAATATTCATTGATGTTCATAGAAAACAATCTAAACAATATGATTTATCTCCAACTGCGTCCCAAAAATGTGATTCATGCAAAGCTAGCTCTCTCTCTCACCTTAGAAAACGATTTGCACTCAAAACTGGAGTCAGCTCCAAAGTGTACATTCCCAATTGCTCAAATCGATTTATCGTTTCTACTCGCGGATCTAGATTGGACATCAGCAAGGATGATTTGTAAGCTTGATCCGTCTCACACATTATATGCCAATTAACATGCAGTTGCATTGACGCCTACATAGGCAGAAAAAACATCAACCAACACAACGAATGACCAAATACATTGTAAACTGAATGACACAATCCACATCCGATACTGCGGCGGTACCAAGAGGAACCTGTGGTCTTCTAATGAAAAAAGTTGTAATTCGTTAGGCTTCCGAATTCAAACCACTACCATGTAACGTCAATAGAAAGCTTTTGACAATTAGAGACGAGTTAATAATAAGTCTACTTTAATGACTGATTTTGTGCACCCAGAAGTTATTGACGTGATCCGTTCACTCATCATCAAGTAAACCTATTGTTTATAGCTGTCCTTGTCGTGACATCTGCCGTCCATTTAGTAAGATGTACCAACCGATTCTGCATTACTGGTTGTTTTACATCACCTATAATGGAGAGTAAACGAAATAAGAGCACCGCGAGACATGCAACTATGTCTGATCTTGACGAGTTACATGAAGGAACCCAGCTGTCTAAAGATCCACCTTTGGTCTGACTCGAAAGGATACATATTGCACTATCAGAATTGCCAGATCGCAAGTTTAGAAGACAGGGCACAGTATTTTGTTTCAAATTACCAAAGACTACTTTCTTCTACCGAGTTGATATTTTTTTCTGTTGTACATTTGGGAGAGACAATGAGAGGATAATTGCAGCAACGGAAATAACACAAAACAATTCGAATTTAACTCACAGTTACTTGTGAGTAATGGTGTGGGGTAATGGATACTGTCTTGAAAAGACCATTCTTCAGACTTCATTGCCACACACAATCCTCAGCTCTTCCGGTCAACCACACACTGGGAAGCGCTATCGACTTGAGTTTCGCTCCTATTAGAGCTCATCAGTAGTGCATATTTACCATCCGGTTCGTGATTTGAACTCCGGACCCATTGCACGAAAGGTGTATGTGTTATCACTGTACCCACAATCTCATACCAGGGTTTGTTCAGGAGTTGTCTCCAGTGATAGTCAGTCAGTTCATTTTGATCTGACGGCAACGGAGACACACACACACACACCAAATCAGGTCTTCCATGCAGATTACGGGCTGACTTAACGCAAACCTACCGTGTTGCTAATTAGGACCCGACTCAGAATTACTTGTGGTTGACTGGAAGAAATGAGGATTGTGCGCGAAGGTGAGGGTGAGGACAATGTACATCAACACTTCTTGGTGT